ACTTAATTTTATAAAATACAGAAAATTAAATGAATTTAACGTTGATTGCATCACAACTGAAATAGGTGAACCCAGAAAACATAAGTGACTCCTTTTTTTTTAGTAAGTCCCTTTCTATATTTGGTAACAATTCAACTTTAGATTTTTCTTTTTACCATTAATGAGATGGTTTCTAGCCCAAAAACTTCTATGATTTATTTAAGATTACAAGTTTCAAAAGCCTTCCTTTATTTCATAAAATCCATGTCTAGTCAAATACTTTCATATAAATTGAAACGGAGAGAGTATAATTTATGTAAGGAAAATAAATAATAAGTTAGATTATTAGATATAGTTACGTGACCAACTAATGAATAGAGAAATATAATTAAGTAAAAAAAGTAAAATAAGATTGACAGAAAACTATTTTAGTTATATTAATTAGAGGAAGAAATCGAGTTATTAAAGATTAATATGACAATAAAGAAATAAATTTATCAATAATAAAAGATAATTATATAAATAATATACTACTATATATATATAGAAAAATACTAGTAATTTTGAAGCCCTTAAGTATTTGGCTCACTTGCTTTAGGGTTGGGCCGTCCTGCTCTCAAATCAGTTAAGTAAATATAACAGTAGTACTAATTAATCTTTTAAAATTGAAAAGAGAGTACTTATTTGAAAGTTAAGTGGCTTAGAAAAAACTAATTACCCTCCGGTGAAGAGGAGACGGCCAAAAAGGGCAAGGAAGAGTCGAGACTGTAGGCTTGGGTGAAGGAAATAAACTGCTTTCAAATGATCTTTAACGTTCGCCGGCATAGCATCACAGATCGATCGGAGAGCTGCTATTCCGGGGAAATTTTCACTTCTGTTAACTCCTGTATGTGCGTACACAATTGAGAATTGTCTCTGCTCTAAATTTGGATAAATCTTCTCCAGTAGATACTTGTTTACTGCCTCCGCACTTACAATCCTTGCTGATAATCATTGAATCAACCAGTAAAACAAAATATCAGAATTAGGATACAGAAACAGGAAGAAAAAAAAAAAGTTGAACAACAAAAAAGTCCTAAACTTTAAAGGACAGGTCGACGCACGAAGCGTCATTCACTCGGGATTCGGAAGAGAGCCGCACCCAAGGGTGGGATGTAGACAACCTACCCTAATGCAAGGATCAGTGTTTGATTTCACAGCTCAAATCTGTGACCTATATGTTACATGGAGACAACTTTACGTTGCTCCAAGCTACCTTTTAAAAGTCCTAAACTTTGACACTGTAAAATTAATGTGTTGGCTTTGGCTTTAATTAAAAGGAGCCTTGATACTTTCAAAATTAATATCTAGACTCGGAAGAATTTTCACCAAAGAAATTCAAAATAAAACACTTGGGTTGAGTCAAGTAAATTCACCATCTATTATATATTCCTAAAAAACAATTCTGCTTTTGTATGTACAGCATAATATTTTGACGAAAGAGACTCAGGTGAGCCACTTATGCTTACGCCCCGATCTCCGCCCCAGTCTAGGCTAACAAGAAAAAAGAAAATACAATTACAGCAATCTGTTCAAGTTTACTGCTTTCTACACTTCCTCTTATAAAACTAACAAGAGTAAGATTAAACTTAAAGAAAGAAAGAACTAACCAGGGAAAAGTTTGCCGATGATTCGAAGGATGGTGCAGCCACGTTTATCTTTACATTGAATCTTGAAAATTTGGAGTTTGTCTATGAGTTTTTCTTGTTCTGGTTGGGAGATGTTCATCATCAAACAAGTTGGAGAATTCATAGTGTTCTTTTGCAGACTCCTGACTTGAGCTAAAGAGAGTAGTTGATATTAAACTGTTTTTGTACTACAAGTGTCTTTTTTAAAAAGAGAGTATGGGGCCTATGTAACATAATTGTGGTTTAAAGAAAAGACTTTGGGTAGTTGAGAATAGATTTCATTTGGGTTTGGGTCGTTTCTTGCAAGTTTATGCTGGATCAGGTAGAAGTGGTAAATGTTGTGTTGAATGAAATAATGAGTCATAACTTAATCCGTCTATCATAATTCAATCTCCCTCCTTTTTTTTTCTTTTTTTTTTAAAAATTTTGTGTTAATGTATTTTAAAAAATTATTTAAATTTTTTCAAATTTACATAATTTGCATATTTCCAAATCTGATTTCGTATATTTGAGTTCAGATTGCATTTTGACTGTTAGGTTATACCGTATGATCCTTTCTGACCCAATAACTTGATGAGTCATTTTTGATTTGCAATCCGTTGAATCAAGTCAATAAAAAAGTTATAATTCAACTCATTTAAATGTAAATAAGCCTTGATAAATAGAGTTATTCAACACGCTATGATATCTCATAAAATTAATTAAAATAATACACGCAAGCTGATTCGGACACGATAATTATCTAAAGAGGTGAATTACTAAGAATTGAGTTGATTCTGGGGCAAAATATTAAATGGATTGATCGGCCAATATTAATATATATTATTTTTTAAAACGGGTAAAAATATATATCTCTATTTTATTGTCACAGTTAGACACAGGGGCAGGGAACCTGATAGTTTGAGTGCATGGGGCCTTATCTGTTTTGTGCTAGAGCCAAACCGATTGATGAGAGATTTGTGAGACTGAAGGTATATTCTAAGGCATCTTCCTTTTTCTGGGATTGCGGGAAAGGGGAATATAGATGAGTCTGGACTTAAATGGCTTACTATAACTGCCACGTTTCTCTCTCGATTTTAGATGATCTTAGAAGAAATTAGTTGGATTTTTCCTATAACTTGTTGGTAATAGGACTGTGTTGGGTGTGTACTAAATTAAGCAATTAAAACATGAGCTACTAAATTAATATTAAAAAACAAATCACTTAACTATGATTAAGTAGCAAAAAAATCATATAAGTGACATGTATCATGCATTTGGTGTTTTGACGCAGATAAATTCTCTTCGCTAAGTATGACTGAGGGGTCGTTTGGTTCAAAGACAAGTTATGCTGGGATTGATTATGTTGGGATTAGCTATATAGAGATTAGTTATGCTAGAATTAGTTATTCTAGTATTATTTATTATTAATTGTTTGGTATATTGTATTAATTCTGAGATTATCAATTTTACTCTTTTATCTTGGGATTACTATTCCACTCTCTGGTAGGTAAGGGTGTACAAAGAAAACCGATAAACATAACCAAACCGATAATTCGAGTCAAACCGGAAAAAAAATCCGATGTGGTTTGGTATTGAAAAATAAAACTCGACCATAATTAGTTTGGTTTGGTTTTAACTAAAAAAAGTCAAACCGAAACCAAACCATCCCGATAGTACATTTATATAATTTTTAAAAATATTTATACATATAAATATTTATTGTAATGTAATTTATAAATATTTCTTAAATTTTTTTCACAGTTTTATCTTTTAACGTATTATTTCAAGTTTAGACTTAACATTCTTGAATGGTAAATAAATTTTATAGCCCATAAATGTAGTAACTCAAACAAAGTTCAAATCAATACTAATGCTAACAAAAGAAATTCAATTCAATATTAGGAATGACGACATTGTTGGATAATTATTTTAGTTTTACATTGGTTTATAATGAAAATGCATACCTTAGTTTATCTTTTTCTTTAGTAGTTATGTAATTACTATTAGTACTTATTAGCTATACTTATTTTAGCATGACCTATANTATGTAATTAATATTAGTACTTATTAGCTATACTTATTTTAGCATGACCTATATATTATTTTTAGATTATGTTAATTTTCATTATGGCTTATTAATTAGCAATATTTGTTTTATGTAATTTTATTATTTTATCTTTGTTATTGAATATTTTAGTATAATGTTATGACTTATCTCATATTATTGTGTTAGTTTCTTGGAAAATACATTATATAGTGGTATTTTACTAAGACTTAAGAAATATTTAGAGTACAAGTTAATATATTTTATGCTACGAAGACTTTATCGAAAAAAAATTTAAAAATCAGAAAAAATCCGAAAAACCCGAGATTGAAAAATCTGATTTTATTGGTTTGATTTAGTTTATAAATTCAAAAATTCGATACTATTGGTTTAGTTTAATAATTAAAAAATACGAATCAACCTGACGTATGTTGACACGTACCGAAAGGTATAAGTTTCTAGAAATTTCTTGTTTGCTAAAGTTGGAACCCGAGATACTCCCGGTTCTGCTTAAGGGGAAAAGCAAAGAATTAAGGCCCACGGGGGTTTGATTGCTATGGCCCTTTCTTATTATTTGAGAGAGACATAATGCTTATCAAAGAGGTATCATTATTTCATATTATTGAAGGGGCATTTCATCTTACTTTTTTATTTTTATTTTATTGAGACGAATGGACCCGTTTGCGATATTTAAACTTCAACTTTTCTAGCGAGAGAATGATAAAATATATAGTACGAAGTAGAATCGGTAACCTCAAAAAACGTACTAATAGTCTTTCAGAATATATCAGACTACATTATATTGAGGGTGTTCTATGAGTGTTAGTCGGTCGGTACGGTATAATATTTAGATATTTTAGTTTGATATTTTAGATATTCGGTTTCTTAAAATGCTATATCAATACCGTACATAATTAAATTCGGTATGGTTCGGTTTTTCTCCTTTCGGTTTCGGTTTATTCGGTTCGGTAACTTCGGTTTATTCGGTTCGGTAACTTCAGTTTATTGGCTTTGAATATTAACTAGTGCATAGAGTCATAGACTGTAATATTCTTAATTAAAGTATTCAAAAGTATAAAACTAAAAGTGTTTGTTGACAAAAGTTTGTCCAAAATCAGCAAATATCAACCCAGAGAGAGAAAATTGTACATAAATGAATAAATTTGATCAATAGAAATGTCTTGTTACTTGCTTAGAGTTAATTGATGAACTTGGAGAATAAAGGAAAGTAAATTTTTAGATTTTTTATATTTATATTATAATTAATAATATGTGCATTGTGTAATACAATATATATTTCGGTACGGTATCGTAAAATACCAAATATTATACATAACACCAATTTTTTTATAACTTAAACCAAATACCATGCCGAATACCAAAATATCGATTATCAAATACCAAATTTTCGATTTCGGTACGGTAATTCGGTATTTACCAAATTATGTACAGCCCTAAAGTGTTCTTGCATAAGTTCTCTTAAATCAATAGTAACATAGTTTTTCCTTAAAAAAATTGTCTTGGGTAATCTTGGGAAATACTTCCAATTAACGGAAGATATTATCACAACTTGACTTGTAAGCTAATTTGAATTTGATTTTGAATTTGAATTTTGTTGATTTTAAGGCCTTTTTTTGTTACTGAAGTTATTTTATTACCAAGTAAAACATTATGTACAAGTAAACATCTTCCCAGTTGCAAAACTAGTGTGATATCTTTCCTAATCAATCCATCTACAGTATATTGCATGATTGTTGGATGGCCCGCTGTCATGAGGTTTGAAGATAAAAGTGGGCCATAATGTGATAATATTAAATAATAAAAAGATTAACTTAAATAGTTACTCACCCCTAGTTTAAATTAATAATAATCAATAAATATATAATATATGTATAATTATATATAATTATTATGTAATCTATACATACTGACTAGGAAAAATAAATAGTGAATTCAACCGATTATTATAATTCTTGCTAATTTGATCCAGAAGATGGGGGAGGTGATGTAATTTAGCATTTCCAGAATTGAGTAATTGAGACAAATGGAAATAGCTATCTATAAACATTTAGAAACCATATACTGTATGAAGTAATTTATATTGTAAATTTTCTCATTAAAATAACTAAGTAATTCATTTAACATAAATAATTAAAATTCATTTAATTTGAAACCAAAAAACAAACAAAAAAAAATAGTGTCCGAAGGAGCACAAGCAAAAGGGAAGCAAAAGGAAGTATATAAAATAACATAGGGCACAAGATTTTGATCAGCTAAGTGGGTCCACCGACCTTATATCTTATCTTATCTTGTTCTGAAGTAATACCGTTCTTATTTTTTTAAGTAAAAGTAAACTTGATTCTGGAATAAAACGCCAACGCATATTATGTAAAGGTGAGTGCCGTGGTCAAGAAAATAAGGTTATAGTTTATCTTGGAAAAGAATTACTATATGTTTATGAGCTATGTGATAAGATAAGTGACGCACTACATTTGACAAATTTTAGAGTGTCATTTTTTTAAATTTAAAAGCTATTCGGAGAAGGATCGTACTCTAAAGGGTGTGATGTAGATAGTATACGCTAATGCAGACATTAGTGGTTGCTACCACGGCTCATACCCATCACCTATAAGCAGAGTCGGACCCATGATTTGAGCACGACAAGGGCATCACTGTGTGCTAATCACTAGAAATAAAATTCGGCGTACAACTCTTTGAAAACTTAATGATTATAATGACTTATCATCCAAGTATAAACAAATTAAAAAAAGTTCTAAAAAAAAAAGAAGCACCGAACAAAGAAAGATCTCTTCGTAAAATGGGTGGTATGAGAAGGAAAATGTTTGATTAAGCATGTTTCGCACTTTAAAATTTCTAGTTTTTTTTAATAAAAAAGAGGTCAGTGATCAAAAGGGCGTTCAAACTTTAAAGAAATCAAGATTAAGGGTATGTTAATAGTAAAAAAAATTAAAGAGTAGTCTTAAACTCTTAGTTTCCATTGGTGAGTCGGAGTCAAAGTGATTGATGAAGAAGGTTGTGGCGTAAAGATTTATATTTTTTTATTTGTGAAGTGATAAGTTTCAATTTAAAACTTTTAATTTTAAGGGATGAATTTGAAGAAAAATAATAATTAACTATTATGTATTAGAAGTTAAAACTAAACTATAATTGAATTCAAAAGAAAAAGAATAAAGAAAAAATTTAAAG